AAATTATATTGAAAATCTAGAATGAAAATAAATCAAAATCATTAAACTATAGACATTATTAATGTATGCAATATTTAGTAATATTTCCTACTGCACGCAAATTAACTAAATGCTATTTCATAATGTTGAATAAGATGAATACGACAAATGTTTTCACTTACTTACACATTCATTTAGATTATAAATTAATTCATTGACACGAATTATTAGAGATATAAAATATATAATTATATATAATTTCTTGCTCAGTTTTGGTTCGCAATTCCCTCATTATTATACAATGTATTCTGAAAATATCTCAATTCCTCGGAGAAAAATAGGAATCGTCAAATACTGTGTATATTCTCCAACTAATTGTTACGCTACAATTACTATACGTAATTTTTGGCAGACCATAGCGCGCGTATAATGTCCTTATTCCGGGTAAAAATAAAATACGGTAATGCGATAGCGTCGATAGCTTAAGATAGCGCAATTTTCGAACAGCGGGCATAGATATAATACTGTATGATTCACTTAACTTGACGACACTAAAATTGCTTATAAATGGTTCGTTCTATTCTCGGTGAAACACATATAGTAACTTCTTGGTGGCCTCTCAACTGGCCTGGTAAACGATACATGTGTTAATTAAAAGCTGTCAAAGGTACATTTCGTGGAAAACTGTCCACCATTTGCAGAACTGACAGTTAGTGTTAGAGTCAAAGTGATTCTACCAAATTCCGTCTTGTAATTTATGATGTGAAGTATCAGCTTATATTTATTGCGAATAAAATGTTTGAATTACTGTGCGGATTTATAACAAGAATGTGTAGGTGTCATTTAGAGCAGCAGCAGGCAGATTAACAGTGTTTACCAATGTCAGTGTATTAGTTCTATCTTATTTCAGTACTTGCATTGGTGTACAAAATTTGTACTTTGCATGTCGCTCTACAGTCTAGTTTGAATAAACAAAACTTTAACAAAGGGTTCTTAAATGTTTTTTACGTTACTATGGTATAGTTAAGTTTACTGTCACACGACGAGATGTTTCATAGTCAGGCAAAATACGAGATAGATTCGTTCCGTTCTATCACAAAAATCTGTTCGTGTTGTCTGTGCAATTTTAAATTGAATCCTAATGAAAAAAATTATATTTATTTATAAGAATGAAACAGCATATTAAAAAAATAATGTTTCTCTGTGTTATTCTTGCATATTCAGTTCTTAAAAGCAATTTTAGCCCTTCGAATAATTATTCGAACATAATATCATAATTATTTCATTTATTTGAAAAATGTGGAAAAAGATCAAACAGTAAATAAGAAGCAAGAAAAAATTCGTTGTAATATTTGCAGTAAAAGTGAGCATGCAAATTGTTGTTAAAAGTCGTGTAAATTATATCGAGCGAATATGTATATTTATATCGTAAATCCCTGCGGATATAAATTTCAATCACTATTGTTAGATTTACTTCTCCCTAAAATCAAGCCTTGCTAAAGCCTATTAATTACTTCCCGAGTGTTCGCGTATATTGTTAAAGAGTAAAAGTCGCAAATAGGTTTACTTTAACAAAAATAGATGAAACGTGGAGATAATTGCAAGATTGCTGCATTGCATTGCACAAGGAGATCGATGATTCAATTCGTTTATTTTAACTAGGCTAATTCTCTGAAATTGTTAAAGGTGTACGCTGATCTCTATAATAGTGATGATCAGACTTCGGATTTTGCACATTTATAGCAAAAGTGGACACGTGAAATTTAAATAGTGCGAAGATTGAAAGAAACCAAGAATGTTGATGTACATTAATTTCAACTTATTAAGGTTATATTTAAAAAATGTTTTGCAATTGAAACAGGTGATTATTATTTTGCATAAAGATCCGCAATCTAAATTTAATAATTTCCGTATAATTTTCTAATAGCTTTTCTGATAATATTCTAATAAAGTATTTTTTCATCGGATTCAATGACATTTTTATAGAAGCTTTGTATTCCATCATGTATTATACTTTCTCGCGTAAATATAAATCGAGCACTAAAAAAGACATTTTTTAAATCAATACTCAATTTTTATAAATATCAAATTTCAGAAACGATAAATGCCATTCGCGACGTTATTTGATAGGATAATAAATTTTAGAAAGTATTGAATAACCTTCGTCATATCGTATCACCGTACACATCAATTTTCTATGTTATACCGTCACCATTAACTACTCTCAAATTATTAGCGACAACATGTGCACAATTGTATCTTCACGTACGAACATTGAGAGGTATTAAAGTACTCATTTATCTTGTTCGCAGTGTAAACAATCTAATTGTCCGTGCTGGATACTTCTCACAGTGGACCGCTACTCTAAATACAGCAAAATTTCTACATCGATCGACGTCATACGACGCGAACAGTTTGATACGTTGACACTAGTTACTTAAAAATGTCCACGTTTTTATTCTGTGGCGTTTAAAAGGGCCTAAATAAAATTAATGCAGAGCCCCAGATACCTCCATCTGGTCTCGCTTTCGGGACTCTACTATGAGTAACCAGCAAACTGGAACGAGCAACTACATGTTGCTCAAAAATAGACTATGTCTAATTTGGTGTCCGTGAACTGAACTGGCACACACCACACTCGAGTCCCGGACAACCGCCTCCGATTACGAGCTACATCTATGTACGTCGTAGCCTATTGTGATCTTCCCAGAATCGCGTCTTATCAATTTGCTTTCTTCAAATTACCCGGAACTTGAGATCGTATCTTCTCGATCGAACGGGTAACGCTTCCATCGCACACGATTCTTAATAATAATTTGAGATGAAGTGTGATGGTAATTTAACGTCTTTTTGTTTTATGCAGTATCTATTATTCTTCTGGCAAACAGTGTAACATAAAATACCTGAGTGCTCAATATATCAAAAGTAAGTGCAGAGAGAAGTGATTAATAGACTGCAGACTTTATGCCCTTATAACATTCTTGACTGGGTATTGTGTGAGTATCTCTCATTATCAGTAAGAGATGCTGACGGGATTATTCATCGAAATGTGAATTCTAATATATATAATGTATAAAAAATATGTTATAAAATAAAACGATACGACGAAAGTATCGATTATGTTAACATGACGATCGAGATATTGCTTGCAATATTTTGACAGTATATTTCCACTGAACTTTCGTCTCTAAATATTTTATTCAAAAAAATATTGATTAGCTTCGTAGTTTAGTAAGTTAAATGAACTGATTAAATAATTAATAAGCAAATGATCGGTCGATTGTAATAAATGGATCTTTGCATAGAGACCATGCCGGAGGGAAAATTCATGTCTTCTCTTAAAGATTTCGAGGCATTGAGGTCAAATGCCATGAATACGTTACTAATGTTAATCACAATTTGTTTTTCACGAGTATGTAAAATCTAGTAACAAATATCTAAAAGAGAAGTTTCGCATTTCATTCGAAGACATGTTTCCAATCTGTCATAAATCAACCTTTAAATAAATTAACCTTTCTTGTATATTTGTAACTTATAATTCTTTCATATTTTGCCAAGATCGAAAATATTCAAGAAATTTGAACAATTATGCTACAATCGGCGACACGAGTGAAATGTTATTGGTATCAGAGAGAAAGAAGCGATCGATAGAACAGAGTCAACTTTAGAAATAAAAAGAATCCTCTATCCGCATGCGAGGAACTATCGAAATAAACTATTCGCTATGTTTACGGTTTATGCAGCGTTGTGAAATTTTGCTTCACCATTTTCGGGTCCGGCATGCATATCGCGTGCATTAATAGGTAACTCGTCGCTCGCGCTTTCAAGACAGTTGAAATCACCGAGTTAAATTTAAAATTCTCCATCGACGTTTTCGTTTAGTAACAGTATCTACGATATTAGGGAAGAAAATCGTTCGCGGCCTGCCGTAAGTGAATATTAATTTAGCAAGGCTACGGTGAATTACTCATTAGTGCATTTAATACATTCCATTAAGTATCAAGTAAATGTCGTGTAGCGTTGCCCGCCGTTACTACTTCGTTACTACGAAGACCGCCATTTTCAGTTCCACCAGATCATTCATACGTGCGAATATATAAACAATTTCTAGCACCTGTTATAGCGTGCGATCGGATTACTCGTTAATTGTATTTCGCATTTGATATCGCATACAGGCAAGCTGTTGTGCACGTTCGGCAAAGAATCTTCGAAATCGTGAGAAAATCGAGTTTCAGCAGAAGACGAAGGATGTATTATTAACCGCGAATGTGATTATTTGAAGCCCGATTTAAAAGCAACAATAAATATGAGCACACTGTCAGAGGACGTCGTTAACTCGTTGCGTAAGACACACCAAATTTAACTGGCAGACATAGCTTCGAACTGTTGATATCGGTTATAGAGTTACTTCGGCCAAAGTACTTCCTATTTTTACGACGACACCAAAGAATCTCCAATTTCAATAAGATGTTAGTTACCCCGTATTTTTTTGACAGCTTCCCGAAGTTCTCCCCAAAAACATTTCTGTTAATCATCGTGTGCTGAAAACGTTCGAGGTGCCTTTTCATTTTTTTTAATGTTCATTCACTGGCACTTAAACGTTACAAAATTATTCTCGTTAGCGTGATCGGTTAAATGTATCCTGAAACTAAGCACATAACTTTCCTCGGTTGTCAAAACGTGCACAGCGCGATTAAAGTGTTTGATTAGCACGGTGAACGGTAACTTCGAAACAATCAGAGACTCGAGAGTACGAAGAACGGAACCGGAAATGCATCGTGATTATTGTTTTCCGTTCTATCGTTAACAATATTAATGAAACGTATGTATGAACTGACTCGAGTATTCTCGTATTATTTTCCGTTGTTATCACCGTATAAATTTCGAAACGTTAGTCGGTAATCGATAAATATGTAGAACGTTAGAAAGGATTGTTATATAAAATTGTATGGATTAGGTAACGGAAGTGAATCCGGATTAGTAGAATGTCGAGAAATTGAAATATATGTACCTGAACTTACAAGATTTTCTTTTAGATGCTATTTCCTCGGAAGTAGCGGCACGACTCCCACAGACGTTGCAACGCAGGTTATTTCCCACTCCATTCGTGGTCTACCCCTTCTCCTTTGTGGTTGTTCGCACGTAAGGTGTAATTCCTACTGATTTGTTCATATGCGATGTCCGGGTCTTATGGGGTGAACTGTAGCGCACACAAATCACACTGCGCCTTTAGCACTCAAGTTAGCCCTGCCGTTCTCGCCAATTATTCTTCGGATTCTCATCCTGGATTGTGGCTATCTGACATACGAAATATGAAAGTATAAAAATTCGATAGGGTTTTTAATACATTAAGGTTTTTAAGTACATTTATGGAGCAAATTTCTATTTAAAATTTCATTAAAAATTCAGTATAATTTGAAATTTCATTAAAAATTTCATTAAAAGTTCATTATAATTGAAATTTTTAATGATAATTTCTTACCATTTAAAATTTCTATTTAAATTTCTATTAAAAATATATGAGGGATATCTATGAAATATATGATATTAAAAATATATGAAAAAATGTTAATATAAATTTATTGGAAATTGAAATTATAATAAATTCTGAATAGAAATTTGCTCCACAAATATATCTTTACAGTCCCAATAATGATCAATTCTAATACGAATTATAATTTGTTTCTTTGTTACCAATAATTGGTAACCAATAATTGTTACCAATCTTTGGTATACAGAGTTCATGGGTGACCCCAA